CCTCAACAAATCTTCTTCTTTCTGAACGTCTCTACTAATACCCTTACTTTTGAATACTTTTGGTATTATTATAGCAAGACCTTCAATTACCAAACTAGGTCGATCATTTATTATAAACTCTAAGATTCCATGATCCAAAAGACTTTGGACTCGATATTTGAAGGTAAGGTAATTCTCAATGGTATGTCCTTGAGCTCCGGCATGATATTCACAATAAACGTTGATGTCATACCAATTCGGATACCGAGGTTGCAACAGTTTCACATAATGCGGAGCCACTTCTTGTGCTTCAAGTAGCTTCTCATACAACTCCTTTTATGATATAGGGATAGCATCAAAATGAGAACCGTCTTTCGTCTTGGATTGAATCAGAGTTTCTGACATAGGGAGCAAATTAAACTTCGATGATTTCAGATTGCATGATTTATTCTCATCTCCGGGAGCTTTTACAGTTGTCATCATTTCCTGGGTATCTCCAGATAACTTGTGAATACGAATGATAACTATATACAATTTCTCAACTTAGTTAGGATCAGAAACCCCTTGTATATATGAGATTGCAGGATTATATTCATTAAGCTCTCTCTCTCTCTCTTTGTGCAAGAGTCTCTTTTCCTTTGACCAAAACAGATATTTTATCCATCATCTTGGTCATTTGCTCTCTTATTTATCGTATCTCCTTTTGTTCTTCAACGGGCATATGATCTTTGGGTGCATAATTCTCCTCTATCCTCTGAGTTCCCTCAGGATACCATTCATTGGCTGCGTCATAGTTTGCTTGATCATAAAACTTTTTTTCCATTTATGAAAACTTTTCAATTTGATGTCCAGTCTCAAATCAATACCTTCTAATCATGTCATGATCATGCAATGCAAACAAAAGAAATCAATATAAGCAAGTTAAAGCAAAATAAGATGTATGAAAAATAAAAATGAGAAAGGAAAAAATAAAATGGTTAGTACCAATTAATTGAAAGAAAAGATCCATCATTGTATATATATATATATATATATATATATATAACAATTCTAACCTCATGCTTTCTAGTTCTATGCTTTGTTTGGAAAAACTAACCTAACCGCATGATTACTAGTTCACATGCATAGAAAAAAATCAAATAAATTAAAAGACAAAAGTTAGAGTTTATTTCTCCTTTGTGTACACATATGGACAGAGTTTCGACATTGTCTTAGATTGAGTGAATTTCTAGGGTTTATTATATGCAGGGTTTTGGTTCTAGGAGTCAAGGTACTCGAATTGTCCTTGTTGGTGCCCCCTTGGGCTGCCAAACCCTTAATCCTAGTCTATTACAGACTTAAGCGGATCAAGTTCAATTCGTCAATTAAATAAAATTGAATTCTCAATTTCTAACTTATAGAGACAATATATAATCGACTTAGGTTTGACCAGGGTCCCCAGTGGAGTCGCCAAGCTGTCGTAACCGGTTTTCGCCCGGGCACGAATTGTGTCTTGGCGGAAAAGTATGTAAATAAATAAATGGTTTTTAATGATAATATTTTGGAGTCGCCATCGACCTTTTAGGTTAGGTAGGTCGAATACCTAAAAATCATCTTTTAAAAGAGTTTTAAAGAAAAAAACTATTTAAAAGAAAAGTCGGTCTGCGTGTAACCAAAAATTCGTTCTTTTTAGTAATAAAAAGGGATTCGTGGTCGGTTACGTTTGGAGAAGGATTAGCACCCCCATAACGCCCAAAATTGATACCCGTTAATTATAAATTGTCTCTAATAGTAAAAATCTAAGAATTCAAATATAAATTTAATTTATGATCTTATTATTTTAGATTCAATTATAGAAAATTTTAAGGAAAAATAAAACTAAAATAATTTTTATAATACTAAAGTAAATATATTTTTAGGGTTTTATAAATAGGGTATTTATTTATTTTAAAAATATCAAAAAAGGGCATCTAGTTACTTTAAGACAATCCCTTTCTTAATATTAAAAAATAAATAAATATTATTATTTAATCAAATATATATATTTATATGAATAAAATAAAAATAAAATAATAATAAAAGTACTAAATTAAACATATTGAAATTTAAAAGGTAATAATAATAAAAATTAAATTAAATTGCAAATAAACAGTGACTGAGACAAATAAAATTTAAAATAATAAGATTAAAATGTAAAATATATAAATTAAAGGCCATGATTCTAATCATCATGTAATATAGACATTAGGACTTTAATTGAACCATAATAAATTAATTCGGGATTAAAATATAAATTATTATAACTTTAAGTACAAAATATGCTATTTATCCTAAATATATGTGAATATACAGGCAATGACTAAATTATAATAAAATAAACATCAAAGAAAAAAATTAAAAATATGCAAAAATTGTCTCGAGTGACCAAAATAGAAGTTTATAAAATACGAGGGACTACACGTGTGGTTTGCCCATTCCCAATTTACATGGAGGTCCCTCACCAAAACTACGTCGTTTTGGTGAGGGTATAAATACCCTTTATTAGGCCTAAAAGCCCTTCATTCTTCTCATTTCTTCATTTCTTTCTCTCAATAACAGAAAGAAATTGTCTTCTCTCTGAACCCTCTACCGGAGGAATTCAAGTCTTCGGCCGATAGCCGTGATCCGACACCTATCGTCGTCGATAGTGGCCAGAAATTATAAAATTACCCCAAATCAAAGTTTATTCGACTCTCAACCCAAACCCACCCTTATTTCTCCCTAAAAACCACTAGACGACCTTAGATCTAAAAAAATAACCGAAGATTTTACCTTCAGTTAACAAAGATTTCCGGCCACTTGTGGGCTCCAACGACGCTTGGTAAGTTCCTCTTCTTTCTCTTTGTTTTTCTTCTAGAATGGTTATTTGTTGGTGTGGTATTTGGGTTTTTGCTTGCTGTCGATGGTGTGGCTATAGATGGATTTTCCCTGCAGGATCGGTGGCCTTTTATAGGCCACCACGATGTTGCTCTCGGACCAGTTTAAAGGAGCGACCCTAGCTGAGTCACCGAAGCTACGGTGGTGACTCACCATAGGGTAATAACATGTGCAGCCACCTGGTGCTTCTGGAGGTTTCTAGCGAGGCGTGACATCGTGACAGCTTTGGGTCCTGCTGGGTCAGGTCTGGACCAAGTCTGCTTTGTATTTGGGCTTCAGGGTCTGGGCATGTAATATGTATTTGTAATATAATTATTTAATAATAATAATAATAATAATAATAAAATAACATAATAATAAAAATAAAAACGGGATAAAAATTTATTGTCTACAACAGCCTTCTCATTTTCAAGTTTTTTAATTTCTAAAGTATCGATATTTGTATAAGTATTGATACTTATCGATCATATAAGTTTGTCGATTACATTATCTTAAATTATTTTAAAATAATTATAACCTGATATATTACATATAAATCAACATTTCCAATCGCGTTCAACAACTTTTGTTAAGGTTATTTTCAAATTTTCGGTCGCATAGTCTATCTCTTTATTAACCTTATGTTAATCTATCCTTCCTTCAATAATCCCTGTGAAATAAATACATATATGACACCATTTTCATATCGTTAACGGATAATACTACCCATTGGAAAGCGTTGTTGGCCAAAGATGTTTTATGGGGGGGGGGGGGGGGAATTGGCACGCCTTCTAAAACTGTGTGACTGTGTCAAAGATTAAATTCCTTTTTTTGGCCACTCTAATATTTGGCATTAGACCTTATATTTTATACATATAATCCATTTATTTTAATATTCTCAATTTTAATTCTTTTACCTTTTGAATTTAAAATTTTATTTGTGAACCAAACGTTACATGAACAACGTGACTAAATTTTGGTAATGATCCAAATTGTAATTGTTAAATCTAGGGACATAGGTAGGATTTTATGTTAGAGGGGCAAACTCAAAACTTATAAAATTTTAGGAGGGGAGAACTTGAACTTATAAAATTTTAGGGGGCAAAAGAAAATTTTCAATAGAAAATACATAGAAAAAATCTAAAATATATGATAATTTTAAAATTTTTAGGGACGATCGCCCCCCATTTGCTCCTACCTAGGTCCATCCCTAGTTAAATCTTTTCAATCGAGTTAGATTTTCTGATATTATGAGTAAGTTATAAATTTATTTCATGTTCTCTAGATCCCTTTAAGTCTATAAAATTTAGAATCTATCAAGTGATCTCAAAGTAAATTGGAGTGTTATTCTCTCTAGTAGTCTCAAGTTCAAGCAATTACATCTACAGTGTGTATGTATTTAATATCAATTAAAATATAAAATTTAAAATGGATATTATCTTACAGTCACCTTAGACTAAAATAATTCATAGAATTAAGTCATCTTGCCATAATTTTAACTAACGACCAAAAATTTAAAGGATGCCTACCATCCTTTACTTTTTGGTAGAATTTTGCCATTAATAATTGAAGTATTCATAAATTCTAAATTTAGTTAAGATATCAAATTCTATCATGTATTTCTTAAATTTTAAAATTTCAGTCTAATTTAAACAATAAAACGATAATATAATTAAACTAAAAGAATTTAAAATAATCAAAGTGAGGAATATGAACCAAATTTACAATTTACTCATAATTTAAAAATAAGTACTAATTCAATTAACCTAATTAGAGGAAAAAGAATGTATTTTATAATATTACTCAATAGTACCCTCTTTAAAAAAAAATACCAATTCAATTAAACAAAGAGAGGAGAAAAAAAAGGTGCTGCTAGGCCTATATTCTCCCACGAGTGATATATAGTACGATTAAATAAGAAAAGGAAGTGACATAGTCGACCAAAACAACTAAGAATATGATTTCTAATCACTCCTCGTCTCTAACGTCATCTGTCGTTGTTTCCATGACGCAAATTCATTACGACACCCCATCCGTCACCTCCCAATAACCAATGAAATACTAATACTCACCAAAAAGAATATTGCTTTGCTCCATTATATATATATACATGTGCAAAACCTAATAGTGTTATTATCATCATCGACACGCTTGCTATGGAATCGGAGAAGAGGAAGAGGAAGAGGAGGGATGACGGAAAGAGAGCCAAGGAAGGGGAGCCGGCGGCGGTAGCGGAAGAGGAGGTGGACGGAAGGAGCGCCGAGGGAGGCCAGTCGACGGTGGTTGAAGAGGAGGAAGAGGAGGAGGTGGAGGAGTTCTTTGCCATACTCAAGAGGATACGAGTGGCAGTGAAGTACTTCGACAAGGCTGAAGCTGGGGGAAGCGAGGTCAAGGTGACGGGTAAACCATGGAGGCCGAGGTTTGTGTGGGAAGATTTCGACGGGGATAAAAACCAGGAGGACTGCGAGGAGGATACGGGTTTCGATCTTAACTTGAAGCCTGATGTATCCAAACCAGAAAATTAAAAACAAATCTTTCTTTGCTTTCAACAATAAATTGTATTTGTAGCTTTTGTAAACCTAATATAAGAATATGACTCCATGAACACTGAGACCAATTCCTTTTCTTTTTCATTTTTTTTAACCAAGGAGAAGCGGTTATTCGGGGTGAGGTTAGTGACGGTAACGACTAAAAAATAATGATAAACTTATATTTATTAGGATTAAATGTGCTATATGCGGTAACTTTATTTATATATTATGTAAATCTATATATAGCAATCATGATCTCAAACCTGGCACCAACATATATAAGATCATGATCTCATTCACGTGAGGGGGTGAGTAGAGGTGACAGTGGTCCCCTCCAGGCAGCTGGCCTAGTACCCGACAAGATCAGGATGCAGCAGGTCGTGTGTAATACCCCAATTTTGTTCGGGCCTTTTAAATTCCATGGAGATGACCGATAATTAATTTGAAGTTGTTTGTGCTCGACGGGGAATGAATTCAAGTGATGAATCGTGAAAGCTTGCAGTTGGAAACTTTGATGCTTAATTGGATTGATATCGTATACATTTCCTTTTGGAAATTGAGGTATAAATTAAAAGGCAATCCCAAATTCAAAATTAAGTGTCTAAACTCCATTGAGCCCAAACAAGACTCAATATACCCGAGACCCAACAAATAAAGCCCATCAATAATTACATCAAGACCCGGTCCAATACTCAATTAGAGATACTCCTTACGTGAAGCCCCACGATGTGCAGCAGCTCCAGCTCAGCTCCCCACATTCTCGTGCCCATGCTCCACAACACCCAAGTGTCTCCACGTGAAGGATCAAACATCAGCCTTGAGCACCACGCTGACAACATCGAGCAGACCAAGGCTCGTCGCCCACGCCCGACAACACCATCGACATCACCGCTGTCCATGCCCTGCAATACACAAACCCAGACAGAGAGAACCGAGACAAGAAGAGGTTCACGATAATAAACATAAAAACACAACAGGGGGCTCTCGGTCAGGAGGAATGGGGGGGAACGGTTATCTACAACCAGAATCAAGGACCATTGGGAACAGAGGTAACCATTTCGAGCAGAGGGGTCAGTCATCAATTGGAGAACAAGCAAAGAACATTGGAGCAGGGGAGGGGTTCACGAATAGTAGGGAAGAAAAGAAGACAGGGGAAAAAAATTTTGTAAAAAGGAGGCTTCTACTCTCCATCCTTGGTTTTTTTTATTTCCAAAAGCAATGTAATCGTGGGGGTTCTTCATCCATTTTCGCAAGAAACAATCTTAAGAAAAAACGTGGGGCAACGCTTTTTTTCAAATATTCTCAAAGGTATTTTCTATATTTAGCTTCTAACAAAACCCATTAACCATTTTGTTTTTTTCTTTTTCCCATTGAAAACTAAAACGAATAGAAATAGAAAAGCAAGTGAGGCTTAGCTTGGTTACCTTAGTCTATCCTCGTCATTTGGTGGTCGGAGAAGAAACGGCGTCGACGTACGGCAGTCGTGGCTCCTTTGAGTCTCGGTCGAGGAGTTCGAATAGAAGGGGGAGGCTGGCTCAATCTGTTTCGGGTCTTTTGGGGTTGTCTCAATCTTAGTCGGGGCCTTTGGTCGTGTTAGTCGTCGATTTGGGGGCTTCTAGGCGCTCGGTTGTAGGGGCTAAACGGATAAACAGGTTAAGAGTTAGGAGAGTATTAGAGAAAGGAGTTTTGGCTCCTCATCGGAGCCAACTGCGAGTGGTGGCCATGGTAGTCGTTCGTTTTGAGGGAGAGAAGTTGAAGAAGAAGTTGGATGGGAAATGGTAGAGAGATCGACGCAGAGAGAGGGAGAAGAAGAGAGCATTGCGGCTGTGTGTGTTTAGTTTAGAGTTAGGTTAGGTTTATTATTTTAAGGTTGGATATATATTAAAAATTTAGGGTTAATTAGCTTTTAGCCACCCAATCCTTAGGGTAAAAGTGTCGTTTAGTCCCTCTAGTTTTGGTGTTTATTTTCATTTTGGTCCCCAAAACCGAATGTTTTCCTGTTTCCAATTTTGTATCTTTTGTTATGCGTATTTAATTTCAGTCCCAAATATTATGTTATTTAGTTTTTGTTATTTTAGACATTTAACTTCTGAATTGTTGCATGTTCGTTTTAGTCCATAAATCAACATTTGCATGTTTATAGTTTTGTCTATTTATTTTACCCGCATTTAATTTAGTCCTAAGTATTGTCGTATTTAATCTTTATTGTTTTAGACATTAAACTGTTAATTTTCGCATGTTACATTTTAGTCCCTAGGTCGCAGTTTTATGTTTTTAATTTTGTTTTATATCTTTCGCGTGTTTCATTTCGGTCCCAGGTGTTATGTTATTTAAATTTTGTTATTTTAGACTTTTGACTTTCGTTGTTTTGCATGCTACGTTTTAGTCACTAAATCCCATTTTCCAAGTTTATAATTTGATCTTCATGTTTGTAAGTGTTTCTTTTTTAGTCACCTGTTTATATTATTATTTTTTGTTTGTTTACGCATTTGGCACGTAATTTTGGTTAATTGGTGTTTTAGTCTTTAAATCTAATATGTTGTGTTTTTAATTTGATCTTTGTATTTCATGCGCATCTAATTTAGGTCATAAATATTGGTTATTTTGTTTTTGTCATTTGGACATTAGGGCTCCAAGTTTTTACATGTTACGTTTTAGTTCATGTTCAAGTTTCTTATGTGTATGCATGTATGATTAGTTAGGATTCGTTTAGGGTGTGTGCTTATCCTAGGCTTGAATGATGGTGATCTGTGTATATGTTACTACGTGGTTCATAAACATGGATTTAGATGTACTGTATCATTTTATTTAATTAATTTTTGCATGACATCCTTTTGCATAATTTGCATGATAGCCTCATGAGCATAACTCGAAATTATTACATAATTTGATTAAGGGTAATATCCTTTTAATTTAAAATTATTTTAAGTGGGTTGTCTTAACTGATTAGATATCCACTTTCGACGATTTTAAATTAAAAGTATATCCCATCAGTGACACCTAAGAAATTGATTCATTGCTTTAAAATTTGGGAATGAAAGAAAAAGAAATGTTCGGCTATTTAAATTTATCAAGAAAAGATAGTTAGAACTTATCTAAGATCAAATCTCGATATTTGTAAATAATCGAATATTCTTTATCTTTCTAAAGGCTTGGTAATTTTAACTTAATCAATCTTGTTGCTTTTGAATACGGTGGAATTCGTGTGTTGTTATTTATTGGGGATCATAAATCAAATTAAAATCGAATTTGTAAATTTCATTGCAAAGACATTAATTCATCGACGAGGTACCGATTTAGGGCGATGTGGGGGTGCTAATCCTTCCCCACGTGTAACCGACTCCCGAACTCATTTTCTGCTAACGCAAACCTAAATTTTTTGTTTTAATTAAAATTAATTTTTTATTTTAAAATGACAAAACATTTTCGGGTGTCCAATCACACCCTAATCAAAGATTGGTGGCGACTCTTCGAACCCGTATTTTTATCGTGAATGAATTTTCAAATTTTCGAAACGAGAGGTTTTCTAAAATCACATTGTTTTTAATTAAAATTCAATCATAAAGAGGATAATTAAAAATGGCATGGCTTTTCAAAATCTCGCTCCCCCACCAGTTAAAAATCATTTCGACAGCTTGGCGACTCCACTGGGGAAGATTTTTTAGAGAGTCAGGCCTATAGTCGATTAATTAATTGTCTTTGCAAATAAAAGTTAGAAATTCATTTTTGATCCCCTGTTTGGTTTTAATATCGTTTGTTTGTAATTTGATTAACAAATAAATAGTTGTACTGATCTGTTTGTTAATGGTTTCAGATTAAGTATGTGTATAAAAGGGTTTGATTTTTTGGGTGTTATGTGAATATGTGTAATTTTATTTTCACTTTTCCTCACACACTGCACAGTTGCATTTGCATAACATGAGCTAAAACCCCGCTCCGTCCTAATTAAGTAGGAGTGAGAGACTACTCCCTCGTGTGGTTTTCACCTCCGCATGGGATAGTGGATCACTCCTGGAGCTCACGCCTTATGGTCCTCGTGATAGTATTCACCTCCGTATGTACATGAGGAGGTGTGTTCCCTCGAAATTGAACTCGGTCCCAAAAGCCTGTGATGGGCCAGGATTGAGGGTTTGACAGCCCAAGGGGGCACCGGCAAGGACAATTCGAGAACCTAATGCTTTAGAACTGAACCCAACATGTAGTGAACATAGAGCTTGAACTTAGGTTGAGCCTAACCCAAACCTTAAGAGTCCCGTGAGGAGTGTACACAAGGAAAAGTTTTCGAGTCATTTATTTTCGCTTTTTGAATAAATGCATGCGAACTAGAAATCATGCGGTTAGGTTTATTTCCTCGAACAAGCATGTGAATTAGATATCATGCGGTTAGGATTTTTTGTGAATAACAATGTATGAGGGTATATATCATGTTGGGTAGGATATACTAAGCATGATTGGGTAATCAGCATGTGAGGGTAGGTTTTATTTGATATTTACGGTACTTACTATTTTGTTGTTTATCTTATGAGTACTAACCTATTTTTGTTTTATGTCTATTTTATTGTGGATTTATTGCATGTGCATCTTCATTTCATTCAAAGGTGTTAATTTGCAAGTGATTGACTAATAAGAAGGTTGGTCATATCGAGGCAAGAAATTCTTAGCCATGTAGTCAAATCGGGAGATCTAGAGACATTCAAGTGATTCATGAAGAAGGACATCCGATGAATGAAGAAATTTGAACCCGATTGAAGAATGATTCATGAAGGACATCCGAAGAATGAAGAAATTTGAACCTGATTGAAGACCGATCCTTGAAGAAAGACATCCGATGAATGAAGTTAGAAGTTGATCGAAGACTCTTTTTAAATGAGCAAAGGCCGAAGATGTTCCCTCAAGGGATAGATGCAGAAATACCAAGGACGAGAAGACCATTCACAAAGACATGAAGACTATTTTGCATTAAAAGTGAAGATGGAGGTCCCAAGATTCAATTTAAGGACGTTCGACTTCATCAAAGACGATAAAGTACGCCGATAATTTTCGAGGTGCAATGCCAGATTCCA